ATGCTCCGGTAGAGTGTTGCATCCACCTTCGCCGCGATGCTGGCCTTCGTCAGCTTCAACCGCTCCTCCATCGGAGTCACGCATGGCTTGCACTCAGCCATGCTGCTCCGCTCCAACAGCTTCGAGGCATACGCGCTCTGACCGAGCGTGAGTTCCTCTTTCCCCTGTCTCACCTCGATGCCGAGGTAGTAGGAGAATGAGCCGAGATCGCTCATTCGAACTCGATGCCGAGGTAGTAGGAGAATGAGCCGAGATCGCTCATTCGAAAACGAGCCGCCATCTCGCGCTTAGAGTTGTCGATGTCCTCCGCACGCGCGCCGGTGATGATCAAGTCATCCACATACACGCCGACGATGAGCTCCTCCGTCCCCCGTCGCCGTGTGTAGAGCGCGTGCTCGGTTGCGCACCGCTAGAACCCAAGCTCGCCTAGCGTGGCATCAAGCTTGGTGTTCCACGCTCGTGGGGCCTGCCGTAGCCCGTAGAGCACCTTGTGCAGTCGAAGCACTCTATGCTCCGCTCCATTGACGGCAAAACCCGAAGGTTGCCTAACGAAGACCGTCTCTGCTAGCTCACCGTTGAGGAAGGCCGATTTTACATCCAGGTGATGGACACGCCAGTCCTTGGCTGCTGCCAAGGCTAGTAGCAAACGGACAGACTCCATGTACGCTACTGGCGCAAAGACTTCCTCAAAGTCGATGTCTTCGCGCTGAACAAAGCCTCGGGCGACAAGGCGCGCCTTGTGTTTGACAATGGCGCCAAGCTCGTCCCACTTGACCTTGTACACCCACTTCAGGCTGATCGGACAGCATCCTGGAGGTGGATCGACGACCTGCCAAGTCTTGTTTTCCTCGATCGCCTTCATCTCCTCCAGCATCGCCTGTCGTCAATCTCCATCGCGCTCGGCCAGGGCGAACGTGGGTGGTTCCTCTGCGCTGATGAGCAGCAGCCCTTGATCATTGAGCAGCCGACCCACCAGGCCTGAGGGTCCTGTGCCACTGACGATGTCATCCAGCCTGTGGAACCACACCTCCTCACCTTCGTGGAAGGCATCCACGAACTCAGTGATGTCACTTGGAGGTGGGCAAGCTCGATCGACGTCGATAGAGTTCCCTGTTTCGCCAGAGTGCTCGATACAACACCTAGAGTGCTCGGCACCCCGGATGCAGTGCTCGGCACTACTCCTGGACTGTTCGTCATCACTTCTAGAGTGGTCTGCACCCCTCTCCAGAATGCTTGGCACCAGTCTTATAGTGGTCGGCACCACTATAAGACTGCTCGGCTTTGCTACGGGAGTGCTCGGCACCTGTCCTAGAGTGGTCGACGCCACTGCAGGACCTCCTGGCTCTACTCCTAGAGTGCTTGGCACCCTTCCCGGAGTGCTTGGCACATCCCCAACAGTGCTCGGTTCTATTGCTGGAGTGCTTGGCATCCCTCTCGGATTGCTCGACACCTCTTCCACAGCGTCTCCACCACCGTGGATGACCAAGTGCTCAACGACGAAGGTGTTGGTGAAGCCGCCAGCTTCCCCCATGCTCGGACTGTTCCAGTCCTAAGCCGCCTTCAGGTCGAACACGACGTCGCGCGAGACAAGTACCTTGTCTCCGCGTGGGTCATAGAGCCGGTATGCCTTGGTACCCTCCACGTAGCCTATGAACACCATCAATGTGCTCCTGTCCTCCAACTTGGTGAGTATCGGCTTTGTCTTCCTGACGTGGCCGATGCAGCCGAATGTCCGGAGGAAGGACATGCTCGGCTTGCTTCCATGCTAAGCCTCGAACGGCGTCTTGCCCTTCAGGGCCTTGGTGGGAGCGCGGTTGAGGATGAACACTGCCATAGTCACCGCCTCACCCAGAACCTTGCCGGCATGCCTTTGGCCTTCATCATGGATCAAGCCATGTCGACCACCGTTTGGTTCCGTCACTCCACCACGCCATTCTGCTGTGGCGAGTATGGCGCGGTGTGGTGTCATACCACACCCTGATCCGCACAGTACGCAACGAACTTCACCGAAGTGAATTCGCCGCCGCGATCAGTCCTCAGCACGTGGAGCTTCTTGACGCTCTCTACCTCCACGCGCATCTTGAACTTCTTGATCGCCGCCGCCGCTTCGTCCTTGCTCATCAGGAGTTATAGCCACATGTAGCGACTGCAATCATCCATGAGCAGGAGGAAGTACCGCCGACCACCGTTTGTGGCTAGCGTGATCGACCCGCAGAGGTCACCGTGGACGAGGTCGAGAGCGTCCTCCGCGCGATACTTAGCCGCTTTTGGGAACGGCAGCCTCCTCTGCTTTTCGGTTAGGCAGCTGTCACACAGCTCGCCTTCGTGCTCGATGTGGGGCAGCCCTCGGACCATCTTCTCCAGCCAACCAAGCGTGTCAAAGCTGAGATGTACGAACCAGGCATGCCACAGCCACAGTTCCTCGGTGTGCCTTGCCACCAGGCACACCGGCTGCTCTACCTTCAGGTCAAGCAGGTACAACCGGTTTAGGGACCTCTTCACCTTGGCAAGAAGTCGTTGTTCTCGGTCCCTAATCCTGAGGACTCTATCCTTGATCAGTACCTCGCTACCACGCTCATCCAGCTAACCAATGCTGATGATGCTTGAACACAGCTGCGGGATGTAATATACATCCGTTAGCGCACGGTGCTCCCCGTTCTGGCACCTGAAGATGATGGTGCCGCGCCCTTGGATTGCCACCCTTGAGCCGTCACCAAACTTAACCGTACCGGTAACATCGTCGTCGAGCTCGAAGAAGGCTGCCTTGGAGCCCGTCATGTGGTTGTTGGCTCCAGAGTCCAGATACCACCGTTGCTCCTACTCGCCGCCCAGACGTCCGAGGTGGACTTAGGCATGTGGCTCGTCAGGGTTGACAGCTTTTAGGGCCTTCCTAGGTCCTTCCGCCGTCGTCACCTCTCCCTTCTCCTCAGCTTCGACGTCGTGCAGTGCATAGAACGTCCCCATCAGGATACTGGCCTCATCATCATCATCATCAGCTTATGCTAGATGAGCCTCAACCTTCTTCTCCTGCTTGCGCTTTGGGCACTCCCGTGCCCAATGGCCTGTCTTCCCGCAGCGCCGACAGGCGTTGGGGTCGACCTGCTTCTTCTTCTCTAAAGAAGCCTTGCCGCGGCGCTTCTCCTCCGAGCAGCCCACTCCTCCTCTGTCAGCAGCAGTTTGCCGCTGTCCTTAGATGCTATCGCCAGTTCTAGGCGCTCGTCCACCGCCCGTAGAGGGCCTGTCACATCCTCAATGGTGAGGGTGGACAAGTCCAGAATCGTCTCTATGGAGAGAGCGATCTGGATGTACTTTGCCAGCACGGAGTGGAGGTACTTGGAGACCGCCTCCTCTTCGTCAATGGTGACGCTGTGGCTCTTAAGCTTGCTGATGAGCATCTGTAGACGGAGGGAGAAATCCTCCACCATTTCATCATCCTTGAACTTGAGGTTGGAGTACTCCTGCTTCAGAAGCTGGGCCGTCGCCTTCTTTGCGTGGTCAGAACCGACGCGCCACGCCGTAATAGCCTCCCACGCCTCCTTAGCAGAGCTCTTTGCCCACAATGGCTCCCTGTACTCCGCCGATACAGCAACGAGGATAGCCTCCAATGCTGACATGTCATCTTCTTTATTTTCAGTGCCCTTGTTAACAACATTCCAGAGCCGTCGGGCTCTGAGCTTGACCTTCATGGTCACCGACCACTCTCCATAGTTGGTGCCAGTCAACGTCGGCCAACTGGTGCCGCTGACCTTCTGCGCCGTGCGAACAACGACCTCCTGTCGTGGCTGGCCAGCCACAACAGTGCCACTGCTGTCGCCCATTTCCGAACCATTCGTCATGACCAGCGGTTAGTCCGGCGACGGTGCTTGTACGGCTCCAATACCACGTGTTAGCCCACAGAGATCACCGGCTCAGGTGAGTCGACCACTCACCAATCTTGCCGACCACGACAGACGCTGTCCGACTACACACTATGGCTAGAGATAGAAAAGGAGAGGGAGAACAGAGCATACACACACAGCCAGAGACACCAGCGTTGGCCGACGCTGAGCCTTGTATAGGAGATGGCAAATCTGAACTCTCTGTTTACTGAATTGCAGTGGCAAACTATATATACAACTCTACTCATCTAGTCCTGGTACAGCTGTCATGCTATAACAGTGACTAGATAACACAGCAGGGCAGACTCTGGCGCCTGCTCCTGCTATGGCTATAGTACGACAGGTGAACCCTTCGGCGCCTGCCCCTGCAGCGGCTATAGTACCACAGCAGAGTACCTTTTCGGCGCCGCCTTCCTCTACCGTGTGTTCACACAAGGAAACAGTAGATTATCTAACAACTCTATCTGCCATGTCTGGCGAAATACTCAGCCGACTCATCTCCTTGGTAATCAAGAAACACACCGACAGGTCATGTGTGGAAGAATAGCTAGAAAGGCTTGAGCATCTCCTGCTGATAGTCCATACTGTTGTCGAGGAGGCCGAGGGACGATACATCACCAATTCCAAGATGCTGGTGCAGCTCAGGATGCTTGTTGATGGCATGTACCGAGGCTACCATGATGTGTGCTCAACACCTTCAGGTTCAAGCCTTGTCTGCTCCTCTTAAGCGCACTCGTGAGTCGTCAGCTACAAGCTTCTCTGGAAAAATTGGAAACCGTTGCAAAAATTGACAGAGTTTGTCATTCTACTGGGTGGATGCAAGCTGATGCATAAAAGGCCCTATGACACCTACATCTACATGACTACATTGACAACTTCATGTTCAGTCGCGTCGTGGAGAAGCAGGCGTGGGCGACGGGGGCGGCGGGAGGCTCACGTTTAGTTGGGTATGCTTCCAATGATGATATGGTTCTCTCCTCGGTATTACACTTGAAAAGCAGCAACTTTCTGAATGTAAGCCGCGAAACATTCATGCCTGTAAGGACTTCCGTTGTTGTTGAGTTTATTTCAGATGTGGATGACAGTGAATGGGAAAAGTTTTATTCAGCTGCATCGTCACACATGGGGGCAGGAAGCAAAGTGGTCATCGTAAGCTGGTTCCAAGAGATAGCGAGGTTTGGAACTGTAAAGCCAAACATCCTCAGAAGCTTGTCAGATGCAGAGTTTTGTTACCTCTTCAAGGTACTCGCATTTGGAGGGACAGACCCGGAGAATCACCCACAACTAGCATCAATAGCTACGGAGCTAGCCACGAACGTGAATGGGTTGCTCCGTGTAGCGAATATGCTCGCTGACTTGTTAAGGAAGAATCAGAATGTCCAGTTCTGGTTCCATATATTGAAGAGGTTCAGGAAGTCATTAGAGCGTAATTTTTCCAGGTTTGGTGAGCATCCGAAGCAATTTCTTGAGAAGGACCGTCCGACTGACATAACAATGCTGGTTCCGCCTTCTTCTGCTACACTTCATCTCATGCCATCCCATGACGAAACTAGTTTACTGCTCAAGGTGAAGCTTGCAGACCTGGTGAAAGGTTCAACTACTATTCTACCCAATGAGGAGTTTCAGATAACTATATGGGAATCAAGATTACCCCCTTTTACTAAGTTTATCGAAAACTGTATCGCTGACGAGCACCCTTGTACTTCCTCAGACAACAAGAGGCATAAGTCAGCATGCAAACAGTAACATCTTGTCATTTCGATTGCATGGTGACGAGATGCTAATATACAGGTATGTTAAGCCACGGGATTAAAGGTTCCCGACCGAGAGACCCTCCGACCGACCCCTCTAGGATCGCCCGAGGGCTCGGGGTTATACCCATTGGGTACGCTCGCGCGTACCCTCAGGCCATTGAATTTTCGCTCAGGGCTCGGGGGCTCGACCGAGCCTTAGGCTCTCGATCGACGGAAGCCAGGACCCGATCCTTGGCTCCTTCCCGGCCTCTGGCACCAACCAAAGCCCGGGCACAACAAGGTACGCCCCGAGCCACCAAGGCTCGGGGGCTCTCTGGCGCGGCCCCGCAGGCGCGGCACCGTTAATCACTTCTCTGATAGGATCACGTACAGGGCGTGACGCAAGAAGACAAACTCCTCTGTGGCCTCCAGAGGTTCGCAGGCTCCCGGGCCCGCACGTCAGCTCCTCAAGCCGGCTTCCTTCGCCATCAAGAAGCCTCCAAAACACGCACCTGGGGAAGCCGGTCCAAGCCGACATAGCTTGACGCTCATCGTGTCAGAACAGAGCAGCCGGACGACGCCCAGAGCTTCTTCGGCTCCACGACATCGCCACGGTCCACATGACGCTGCTACAAGACCCTCCTGAACTCCGGCTCATGTAGACCATAGGCTCAACTCCCACAAACCGCCATGTACCCGACCTACCTCGGAATTAAAGGGGGAGGTCAGATCCTAAGAGGGGGGAGGAGGATTCCACGCGGATCATTTGCGTCCTCACCGTTTCCACTCGAGCTCTGCACCGAGAGCAGGGCAACCCAAAGCTCCACCTTCGCATCCGCCGTGTTCCTCCTCTCCGACGAGAGGAAAGGCTCCACCAGCGGTGAGGCGTCCCTAGGATCAGCACCGAGCAATCCCCTACCAAATCTCTATCTTTATCTTGTACACTCTACTATAACCACCCAGATTTTAGGTGCTCTTGAGTACAAGGATCATCAGCCGCTTGACGTAGGGCATCGATTGGCCCGAACCGTGATAAACCGTTATGTCCCCTCTGTGATTCTTGTGTTCTTGAGTCCACCCAAGCCACCGGAGATATGCAGTCTGACACTACTACGAACAACAATGCTTGCCACGGTTCTGACCCCGGCACAACTGGCATGCTAGGTAGGGGAGCGCGTCAAGTGTGATTCACACTCTACGGTGGCTGTAGCCACCCGCATCATCGCTGGAGCAAGCAGCGCCGCCCCAGACGGCGGCATCCACTTTCCCAATGAGTTTTTCGTCATGGCCGGCGCCTTCGCTCTGGGCTAGGTCCTCAACTTTGGGAGTCTGGCCTATGTTGCCGACTACTACAACGAGCTCCACCCGCTCAACGAGGCTGTGTTGGTAGGCAACGAGCCCCCGACGCCACCCACTTCGCCAGGCCTCTTGGGAGCTGATCTCGAGGTTCTGAACCGACAGATCCGGCGCGGTCTGGGTCCACACCCCATCGTGTTAGACCGACGCTAGTTGTTTTACATGCTAGCCAACGTCCATCACCAGATGCTACTAGCGAGGTGCTCCCGCCACCCGAGCGCCTCTAGTACTACCTCGTGGACCTACCTTTTGGAATCCAAAATGCGGCGGTGGCCTTCCAGCTAGAGCCGGAGCATCTCGTCAGCCGCGAGGCGCCACGGATCACCGTCCTCTCCAGTGCGGCAGGGACCGACATCCACTCGCTGCGCACCATCCTCAAGATCCTCTCGGGGAATGGCCCAGAGTATGACTCCGACGACAGCGACTGCTATGCCCTGCCTCGTATGTGCAACCACATCGACGGTGAGGACCCTGTCGAAGAGGCACCCGAGCTCATGCCGCTATATCAGAGTTCCCGCAGCCGCACAAACTACCTTTGGGAGAAGGCGGCTTGCCTGCAAGCTCGGCTGGTGGACCTGGAGGCCGCCGAGGTAGAGTTCGAGCGCCAAAGGCAGGAGCTTGAGCGATAGCAAGCCGCACAGCCCCTGTCAACGACAATGATGACCGCACGGGGGTTCCCAGCACCCTACGTTTCCCCCACATGGCCTACAACATGGCTGCCACCGCCTACTGCCTAGAGGACATCTTTGACACGCCGGACCTGAAGACCAATGAACGATTGCACGAGGCAAGGAGGTTCCTCACGTCGCCCTCGAGCAGCAAGCCAAGAGTTTGGCTTCCCGGTGCCACGCCTCACCCTCTCGGCTGTCCTAGCCGATGGCCACCGTCAACGGGGATTGCTTCGACGCGCACGCCCCACCGATGGGAGGAAGCGATGGTGACTCCTCCAGCAACAGCTTCGATCGCCCGTGGGCTAGGGGCACCAAGCCCCGGTAGGAGCAAAGGTGTGAGCTTTCCCCTCGCCTTCTGGCGCAATTGGATCGGCGACGACCGCGACATGCGTGACACCATCGAGGCTTGGCGCCACGCTCAGGCCCAGTGTCACACTCTAGAACACTAGGACGGGGGCTCCGCCTAACATTGCTTTGGCCCCCTGGCGTTCGGGGCCAGGATCCGAGGGCCCCCCTACCCTAGGCGATTCCGGCCACCGACGCACATCCCCAAGTATGACAATGAGACCAACCCAAACCACTCACTTGAGGGTTACTGCTTGGCCATGAGGGCCAGGGGATCTAACGATGACTTCGCTGTCCAATACCTTCCTTTGTTCCTGTTGAGCTCGTCCAGAGCTTAGCTCGAACAGCTCGAGCCTGGCAGCATCCACTGCTAGTGCGATCTTCGCTCCATTCTTGTCAGTCACTTCCAAGGTACGTACACCTGACCTGGGAACTCATGGGACCTACGCAATTATAGGTAGAGGACCAATAAGACCCTTCGAGAGTACATCCAGTGCTTCTCCAAGAAGCACATCGAGCTCCCCAACATCACCGACATTGACGTGATCAATGCCTTCACTTGTGGCACGACATGTGAGGTGCTCATCCATGCACATGGCTGCAAGACCCGGCGCACGATGTGGGAGCTCCTGGATGTCACCACTAAGTTTGCCACCGGCGAGGAGGCCGTCTAGGCCAACTTCAGCGGCAAGGCCAAGGACATCGGCCACCTTAGTGGTGGAGACAATGGTGACAACCCCGCCTTGGCCTAACATCATCGCGACAACAGGGCCAAGGACCGACAGCGCCGCGGGGAGGAGACGGTGGCCACGGCTGACCACGCCTCGATGCCTTAGCCCCACGGGCAGGGCACATGCCCTGAGCACTTAGAGAAGGCATTTGAGGCCCCCTACCCATTCCACGAAGGGCAAATGAAGCATCTCCTCAAGGACTGCACCACCATTAGGGGCTACATCCATGGCGCCCTTGGCCAATAGGGAAACGCCCAGAAGCCTGCACCGAAGGCCAATGAATTGGTGGAAGGTGTCTAGGAGGAGGATGCCAAGTTCCCTGAGGCCAATCGGTGCCTCATGATCTTTAGGGGCTCCTAGGCGTACAAGTCTCGCCGGTAGCACCGCACACCGAGCAGGAGGTGAAACCGTTCGCACCCTCGCCGCCCCCGACGTAGCTTCGTTGGTCCCAGACGGCCATCACCTTCGACCAGGGAGACTACCCCGACTATGTTCCTCATCCGGGACGCTACCCACTCGTGGTCAGCCTAATCATGGGCACCACGTGCCTCTCTAAGGTGCTGATGGATGGAGGCAGTGACCTCAACATCCTCTACCCTAGCACCCTAGATAGGATGGGCATCCCGTAGAGTAGCCTGCGCCCTAGCAAGGCACCATTCTATGGGATCATCCTAGAAAAGGAGGCCGTGCCCCTTGGGCGTATCGAGATCAATGTCACCTTTGGCCAGCCAGATAACTTTCGGATGGAGCCGCTCACCTTCGAGGTGGTGGACTTCCTCGGCGTCTACCATGCTCTCCTTGGCTGGCCATGCTTTGCCAAGTTCATGGCCTTCCCCAACTACACCTACCTAAAGCTAAAGATGTCCGGCCCCTATGGGGTCATCACCGTCGAGGGCACTTTCGAGCAAGCCTACTACTGCGAGCAGTACTGCATCACCCAAGCGGCCGCGCTGTCTGCCCCATGTGGTCCTGCTGGCTCTGACCGCGACATAGTAAGGGCGTCGGTGAAGGAAGGAACTGCGACGACGGCGACGCTTGGTCGACTGAGCATCGGTGAAGCACCTAGGGCTTCTGGCGATAGCGATGGCTCGGCTGGCCCCTACATCCAGGCGCTCAGCTCCCCAGAAGGCGCTAACCCAATCGAGGTGAGTTCTAACCTTTCCCCAAGAGCAAAGGCCATCGTCGAGCCATCTGCCCAGTAGCCTGGCCCCCCGAACCAAGACACACCCGCCGACCTTCTTCGCCTACCTACCTCTCTAACAACAAAAACCAAGATAAGTCTCGTCCTCCTGATCTTTTCGCTCTCCCTATCTCGTTACTGTTTCCCTTTTCCCAAGCAACTTCAGTAGATGCTCGGCTGTGCCGAAGGAACAGCTAACTTATCAACTATTGCCCTTTTATGAAGGAAGTCCATGACTGGAAGCCCCCTAGCGAGCAAGGTCGGGACGGATGGAGCAGGCCAGACGACAAGGGGACTAGGCCAGAGATCGGCGACTGCTGATAGGATAGCCACGACCGTCATGTTACCAGCTATGTCATCTTTCCCCACTCTTGTGTCCATTTTGTTTCATTTGCAGCCACCTCTCTGTCTCCCGATCCTTTGACGAATCGTGTCTCCCAGCCGCACGACGGTATGGGGCCCCCCAAAAGGGGCAACACCAAGGGTCTCTAGGATGGCCCACCAGGCTTCAAGGCCACCCAAGGCACCCAAAAGTGCGAGGGACATTCATGGATGTTCGAGTACCAACCTTGAGCCACTCGTGGTGACCCACTGAGAGAGGTAGCGATCCCCCGAGCATCGAAAGATGGGCTCAGGAACTATATGAGTGGCTCGGTCAGGAAGCCGAGGACCTCCCCTAGAGGGGACATGACTAGGGCATGGAACAACTGTAAACCTGGGGTTCTCACAG